AAGAAGCCAAAGGCGCAGCTTCTGAAACTTCCCGACTCGTGCCACTGCTAATGGAAGGAGACTCCAACTCATATAGAGGAAGCTACAGGCAGGGGGAGGGAGGGAGGGGGGGGGAGCTTTAGACGGGGGGGGGGGGGCCCCCCTTTCTAGAAAGGGGGGGGGGGAAGGGGGAGAGGGGGGCTCGAGATCGTAAAAAGAAAAAAAGGGGAAAAATAAAAAAAAGAGAGCGAGAGAGCGAGCGAGCAAGTGAGCGAGAGAGTGAGCGAGTGAGCGAGAGAGTGACCGAGAGAGTGAGCGAGTGAGCGAGCGAGCGAGAGAGTGACCGAGAGAGTGAGCGAGAGAGTGACCGAGAGAGTGAGCGAGTGAGCGAGAGATTGAGCGAGTGAGCGAGTGAGCGAGTGAGCGAGAGAGTGAGCGAGTGAGCGAGAGAGTTAGCGAGAGAGTGAGTGAGAGAGTGAGCGAGAGAGTGAGTGAGCGAGTGAGCGAGAGAGTGACCGAGAGAGTGAGCGAGAGATTGAGCGAGAGATTGAGCGAGAGAGTGAGCGAGTGAGCGAGAGAGTGACCGAGAGAGTGAGCGAGTGAGCGAGCGAGCGAGAGAGTGACCGAGAGAGTGAGCGAGAGAGTGACCGAGAGAGTGAGCGAGTGAGCGAGAGATTGAGCGAGTGAGCGAGTGAGCGAGAGAGTGAGCGAGTGAGCGAGAGAGTTAGCGAGAGAGTGAGTGAGAGAGTGAGCGAGAGAGTGAGTGAGCGAGTGAGCGAGAGAGTGACCGAGAGAGTGAGCGAGAGATTGAGCGAGAGATTGAGCGAGAGAGTGAGCGAGTGAGCGAGAGAGTGAGCGAGAGAGTTAGCGAGAGAGTGAGCTAGAGGGTTTACATAAAGCCAAGTTAAAAAAAAAAATTACGAAATGATGAACGAAGCAAAGTGCCGAATACAGCGAGCATCTTCTTGTTTCCACTGATCGAAAAAAATAAAATAAAAATGAGAGGGGGGGCGGGGCTTGAGAGGGGGGGCGGGGCTTGAGAGGGGGGGCGGGGCTTGAGAGGGGAGGCGGGGCTTGAGGGGGGGGGGGGCTCCAGAGAGAGGGGGGAGCAACTGGCCCCCCTCTTCCGCACTGGCAAGCGGTTAATTACAAGCCCGGCCGAGAGCCGCCACTCCAAACCAGTCCATCGAGTGAGCCTCCCGCAAAAATAATTAAGGCGCGCGAGTTTTGAGTCGAAGCGAAAACGAGCGGCGATTGCAACGTCTTTGCAACTACAAAATAATGATGATGATAAAATACAAATTGCAAAATAATGATGAAATAAAAATTACAAAATATTTATGAAATCAATTTTTTCAAAATATTGATGAACTAAAGTTATTTGTTTTAGATTGAAGGCTGCAGACGGAGAGAGACGTTTTGACCACCGCGCCAAAGTAAGCGGTTAATTACAAGCCCGGCACAGCCACTCCAAAACAGGTCCATCAAGTGAGCCTCCCGCAATAATTAAGGCGCGCGATTTTGAGTCGGGGCGACGAAAACGAGCGATAATTTTGTTTACAATTACAAAATAACGATGATACTGACAAACATTTTTTTTACGCAATTCTTTCAACAATATAAATTTTGACTCATTTGTTGAAATGAAGAACTTGGAAATCTGCGGATTCTTGTTTAAAACGACGAGGAAATTCCGCACGGAAATCTCGCGGAACGACTCCGCGGAAGAGGATATGACAGATCTACGTCTGACATCCCCAAGTGACGCTCCGGTCCATCCTCACCCACTAGAGGGCAGCCTTTCACCCCTCAACTGTGCCACTCGCCCCAGCCGTGTTGATCGCTTGCCACTGAAACCTCTGATGCCGCGATTATTCCATCGGTCAACACACTTTTTTAAATCCTTTATATTAAGTTCGCTTGCTTGCTTGATTAGGACCGTGCAAATCTTTCGGTCGTTTTTTAACCCACTTCCCGTGATCCAATCGAGCTGACATTTTCCGCACAGACTCGTTGTGCGTGACAATTAATGTTCGTGAAAAAATGTTTCCAAAATTTTACACTTTTTAGGACAAAAATATGATATTTAATTACCAATTGCTTAATGGTGCAATGCAATCATCTGACCCATAGGTGGCAGCCATCTCAAGCCAGAGGACGAGAGGACTCTAGCCGCCACGCATATAAAGGATTTATAGTGAAAAACTTTGTTTTTACGGGTTATACTTATTCTGGAATAAGGTATTCCAACGGTTTTAATGTAATTTTGGGGTGCTGATTCCAAATTTGGCATCATTTTTTGTCTATCACATCAGGTTTTTGAGATATCAAATATTGGATTTTCAAAAAAAACTGCGGAAGAAAAATATTAAATAAATGTGGATATCTACATAAAATTATATTATAAACACACTATCCTAAAAATACAGCACCATATTTTAACACTGAAGCAGTCACTGACTCGCAACAACTTGCAATCATAAGTGACGGAGTTAATTTCGGGTAAAATCAATGAAAATGGGGTATGCCGATAGCATAAAAATGAGATGTGATAGAGCAAATCTGAGATCAGATTTGGAATCGGCACCCTGAAATTAGTCTAGAACAGCTGCAAAAGTCCAGGCCAGAAAAACATGTTTTTTTTTTGACCAGTAATTATTGTTACGGTGATGATAACACTGGTCAACAAAAAAAAATTCTGGCCTGGACTTTTGCAGCTGTTCTAGACTAATTTCAGGGTGCCGATTCCAAATCTGATCTCAGATTTGCTCTATCACATCTCATTTTTATGCTATCGGCATACCCCGTTTTCATTGATTTTACCCGAAATTAACTCTGTCACTTATGATTGCAAGTTGTTGCGAGTCAGTGACTGCTTCAGTGTTAAAATATGGTGCTGTATTTTTAGGATAGTGTGTTTATAATATCATTTTATGTAGATATCCACATTTATTTAATATTTTTCTTCTGCAGTTTTTATTGAAAATTCAATATTTGATATCTCAAAAATGTGATAGGCAATAAGCTGATGCCAGATTTGGAAACAGCACCCCAAAATTACCTTAAACCCGTCTACGGGTCTCTGTGCAAGTCTACGGGTCTATGTGTGAGTCTACGGGTCTCTGCGTGAGTCTACGGGTCTATGTGTGAGTCTACGGGTCTCTGCGCGTGTCTGCGGGTCTCTGTGTGAGTCTATGGGTCTCTGTGTGAGTCTATGGGTCTCTACGCGTGTCCACGGGTCTCTACGCGAGTCTACGGGTCTCTGTGTGAGTCAATGGGTCTCTGTGTGAGGCTGTGGGTCTCTGTGCGAGTCTACGGGTCTATGTGTGAGTCTACGGGTCTCTGTGCGAGTCTACGGGTCTCTGTGTGACTCTATGTGTCTCTGTGTGAGTCTACGGGTCTATGTGTGACTCTATGGGTCTCTGTGTGAGTCTATGGGTCTCTGTGTGAGTCTATGGGTCTCTGTGTGAGTCTATGGGTCTCTGTGTGAGTCTATGAGTCTCTGCGTGAGTCTGTGGGTCTCTGTGTGAGACTACGGGTCTCTGTGCGAGTCTACGGGTCTATGTGTGAGTCTACGGGTCTCTGTGTGAGTCTATGGGTCTCTGTGTGAGTCTATGGCTCTCTGTGTGACTCTATGGGTCTCTGTGTGAGTCTATGGGTCTATGTGTGAGTCTACGGGTCTCTGTGCGTGTCCACGGTGACCAGGCTGAGGCCATCAACTCACGGCGCTAGAGATACCCGGGGTTCGATCGTCAAAATGAATCCTGACGTGCGGGGAACGTGGAATCTGCCCGCACCACGACTCTTCCCTGGCACGGCTGATTATCCCAGAGGCGTGCAAACGAGATGACGCCAAACAGGATGACGCCAAACGAGATGACGCCAAACGAGATCACGCTAAATGGGATGACGCCAAATGAGATGACGCTAAACGGGATGACGCTAAACGAGATGACGCCAAATTAGATGACGCTAAACGGGATGACGCTAAACGAGATGACGCCAAATGAGATGACGCCAAACGGGATGACGCTAAACGGGATGACGCTAAACGGGATGACGCTAAACGGGATAATGCTAAACGGGATGACGCTAAACGGGATGATGCTAAACGAGATGACGCTAAACGGGATGACGCTAAACGAGATGACGCTAAACGAGATGACGCTAAATGAGATGACGCCAAATGAGATGACGCTAAACGGGATGACGCTAAACGAGATGACGCTGAACGAGATGACGCTAAACGAGATGACGCCAAATGAGATGACGCTAAACGGGATGACGCTAAACGGGATGACGCTAAACGGGATGACGCTAAACGAGATGACGCTAAACGAGATAACGCTAAACGAGATGACGCCAAATGAGATGACGCTAAACGGGATGACGCTAAACGGGATGACGCTAAACGGGATGACGCTAAACGAGATGACGCTAAACGAGATGACGCTAAACGAGATAACGCTAAACGAGATGACGCCAAATGAGATGACGCTAAACGGGATGACGCTAAACGAGATGACGCCAAACGAGATGACGCTAAGGCTACACGGGGAACAACGCGGACGAGGCGTAACGCGTAACACACGGAGGTAATCACGACATCGCCACGTGATTAACCCTGCGGCAACGTCCCCAGTGGGTGGACGAGCCGACGTCGAGCTGACGTCGTGGCGACGTTGAGGCTACAACGATGCAACATTGAGGCAACGTTGAGCCAAACGTTCCATGTGCCGTATTCCGGGCACCCGGTTCACCTCCAACGTTGACCCAACGTTGACCCAACGTTGACCCAACGTTGACCCAACGTTGATCTAACGTTGAGCCCAACGTTCCATGTGCCGTGTTCAGGGCACCCGATTCACTTCCAACGTTGATCCAACGTTGACCCAACGTTGGGCCAACATTCCACGTTTACCCCGGGGCAAGGAGTGAAGCCATACGAGCAACCGCCGGAGTCGTTTGAGGCTGCTCGTTGAGGGGAGGGGTTGGGGGGGGTTGGGGGGGGGTTGGGGGGGGGTTGGGGGGGGCTCTGTCAATGAGTGAACGACTTTCAATCCACCTCCTGGCTCGCTGTATAAACAGAACGTCGGACGAACGTCGGTCGGACGTTTAACGCGAAAAAACAGCGGCGGACTTCCCTCGCGGACGATCACATGTTTACTGGGCACCCCGGAATACCCGGAGCGTCAGGCTCAACGTCAGCCCAACGTCAGGCCAACGTCAGGCCAACGGGTCTAACCGCGTGCGGCAGAGGTCACAAACGGGTTTTAATTCCTTACCCGTACCCGTACCCGGCCGCACCAGGGTCGCAAACGGGTACCCGTACCCGGTTGTACCCGTACCCCACCCGTACCCGGCCGGGTACGGGTGGGGTACGGGTATCGGGTACCCGATTGCGACCTCTGGGATGAAGCCATGTTGCAGGCGCGGGTGGGTTGATTCTAGGAACTTGAATTGTGAGAAGAGACAAGACGTCGGGAAATGAGTGACAAACGGTGACTCACCGGTGACTCACGGCCTACCCGTACCCGGCCGCACCAGGGTCGCAAACGGGTACCCGTACCCGTACCCGGCCGGAGGGGAAGTATGGACGGATGACAGCTCCTGGTCAAAGACTAAATCGGCCGTGCGGTTCCTTAAACGTTAACATTGACGATTTTACTGCAAGCAATGATAATAATAGAGACCTTGGGTTCAGTTTTCCGAGTGAATTGTAAGTGTCAGTGTTTAAAGAACGGCACGCGAATTCTAACTTGGGTGATTTTATCTCCACGTTTAAAACAGCTGTTAATTGTGGGAAATGTAAAACCACGCAGCGCGTCAGCAAATCATCTGTCAGCTAACCGGCATACCTCATCAGCTAATCAGCGTCAGCTAACCAGGCGCCACCACGAGCCAATCACACGCCACACCCCAACAGCCCGACCCCTCAAGCGTCCCAGCAACCAATCACACGTCAGCTAACCGGGCGCCACCACGAGCCAATCCCACGCTAACCCAGAACGACGTGAGCCAATCGCACGCCACACCCCAACAAACCCGACCTCTCGAACGTCCCGGCAGCCCAATGGCGCGTCACCTTACCGGCCAACACCGCATCAGCCAATCACATGCCAGTACCCCGCCCCCCCTCCGCCCCCCCGCCCCACACCCTCCAACCAATCAGGCGCCATCGTCTCCCCACAGGCAGAGGTTACGGGAGGGGACGATGAACTCAAAGGTCCAGCACTTGCTGCAGGCCCGCACCCCGCACGTCCGTACGTCCGACCCTCCGGGGCTTCCGTCCTCGCGATCTCCTCCCACGCCCTGCTGCTGCTGCTGCAGGCGCTGTTGCTGCTGCTGCTGCAGCTGAGCCACCTTGCACTTGCGCAGTCCGCACGGAAGCCACTCCACGCAGACGGCGCAGCGGCAGACGCAGGGCGCGGAGGGCGAGCGAGACTCGCGGCACCGCGGCGAGGCCGGCGAGGGAGGCGGCGACGGTGACGGCGGCGGCGGCGGCGGTGAAGATGGTGACGGCGGTGAGAAGGAAGGCGGCGAGCCCGGTGGTGGCGAGGGGGCGGGCGAGACGGGGAGGTTGAGCTGAGCGAGGATGGTCATCACCGGAGGCCCGCCGCCTGTGCCAAGGGAGAAGGGGGGGGGAGGACAGAGAAAAAGATTAAGGTCCCCCGTGTAGCTGGTAACCCCTTGGCACAGGTAACCCCTCCACCTTCAATTAATTACCACAAAAGCGTGAGAAAAATATCAGCTAAGCTTGTGCCAGAGGCCCCGGGGGGACAGGCGTCTATGACGTCTCCTGGCCAAACCCCATTTTGCAGAGCCAGGAGACTTAATCTTCACCCTCGGGGTTCCTCCAGAAACAGCAAAAAGCCACTGTGGGTGGCCACGTGGAATGTTCGAATGCTCACTGCGGAGGAGAGGCTGCCACTCCTTTGTCAGGGGCTGGACCGGTACCGCCTGGATCTCTGCAGTATTCAGGAGGTCCGGTGGACCAGTTCTGCCTCCTGCCACCATGAAAGGTGGACAGTCCTCCACTCGGGGCAGGAGACTGCCAAACAACAGGGAGTGGCTTTTCTTCTGAACAAACGAATGAAGGGGGCGTGGGAGCGTGGCGGTAAGGTGTGGGAAGCTGTAAGCCCCAGGCTACTTTGGTCTCGCCTTCCCATCAACCGGAGGCGAGGAGTGGTGGTCATAGTTAGTTATGCCCCCACCGAAGATGAACATCAGTGGAGAGATGCAGGCAAGGCCGATGAGTAAGATGCCTTTGATAACCTCCTGTCACAGGTGCTAGCTAAAGTGGCCCCTCGAGATAGAGTCATCTTGTTGGGTGACTTTAATTCCTGAGTTGGTCATGATGCTGGTCTGGAGTGATTGGAAGGCATGGGCCAGATCACTCAATAACAACGCTGGGAGGCTGCAAGATTTTTGTACAGCCCATGGGCTTGTAATTACCAACACGCTGTTCCGGTATCGACGCATCTGCACAATATATAGCGACGAAACAGCAGATGCGAGCCCATGTCCTTGACACCAGGACCTAACGTGGAGCTGATCTGCCCACTGACCATCGATTTTTCATCTTTAATATGCGCCTGCCATACTTCCACTCCGGTGGTGGATGTCCACCCAGGACCCCATTCAAACCCACAGTGGGATGGTCTCAGCTAGCTGATGAAAGTTGCAAGTGAGAATTTCATGATGGCTTGCAGATGGGGTTGGCATCGTCTCCCACTTCTGATGCCGAGGGAAATGAGTGAGATTTAGGACTGTGGCTCATGCAGCTGCAATGGCTGCTTTGGGTACACGGTCCAAACCTCCCCAGAGACCCTGGCTGACAGAGGAGGCGTTCAGGCTGGCGGAGAAAACCCGACAGGCCCACTCTCATCGGCTACAGCATCCCACGTCAGAGATTGAGGAGGCTTACCGCAGCCTTCGCTCGGAGGTTCGGAGCGCCATGAGACGCTGTAAAGATGGGTGCTGAGGAGATGGAGTCTGCCTCAGTGGCCCGTGATCACAAATCACTCAAACTCCATCAAAAAAGTAACTTGCAGCACCACACCTATCACTATCATTAGGGGAAAGAACAGGGATCCAATCTCTGACCCCCAGGAACAGGTTTGCAGATTTGCTGAGCATTTCTGTGAGGTATTGAGAGACGGGAAAATCCCTCAGACTGGAAAAGATCATGGGGCAAAGTGGGGATGACCCTGCTGAGGCTGCGGTGCCTCAAATATTGGAAGTATTAGTCACCCCCTGTGAGTGGCTGGCTGAGATGCCATCTGTTGAGGAAAAGCGCCAGGTAGAGATGATCTCCCAAGCAAAATGTTGAGGGAGGGTGGCATTTGTGCACAGACTGCCCTACATGACATAACAACAGTCTGGACCACTGGACGGGTTCCGCAGGACTGGAAGGATGCCCAGGTGGTCCCCCTCTTTAAGAAGGGGGACCGCACAGACTGTAACAATTACAGGGGCATCTCACTCCTCAGTGTGCCGGGAAAGGTCCTGGCAAGGATTATTCAACATCGCCTTGCCAGGCACGCTGAGGAGAGGCTTGCGGAGCCCCAATGCGGTTTCAGGAAAGGGCGGTCCTGCACATATGCCATATTTTCTTCTCTGTCTGCTACAGCAGAGGTGTAGGGAATTCCAACAAGACCTACATCTCTGCTTTATTGACTTGGTCAAGGCCTATGATACCATCAGTAGGCCTGGGCTCTGGGTTGTTCTTCGTGCTTTTGGAGTCCCTGACCCTCTGCTCACGATCATTAAGGACTTTCATGATGGTGAGCGGGCCCGGGTAAAACTACGTGGCCTGGAGTCGGAGCCATTCCCTGTACACCTTGGGGTGCGACAGGGATGTCCTCTGGCTCCCACATTATTTAACATCTATTTTGACCACGTAGTTCGTGAAGCCTTCAATAGCTGTACCGGGGGAATTTCCATTTTCGGAGTCCCTGACTCTCCGCGTGTCTCTGCGTGCGTGTCTCTGCGCGCGTGTCTCTGCGTGCGTGTCTCTGCGCGCGTGTCTCTGCGCGCGTGTCTCTGGCGGCGTGTCTCTGTGCGCGTGTCTCTGCGTGCGTGTCTCTCCACGCGTGTCTCTGCGTGTGCGTCTCACCGCGGTTGAGGGCCCGCACGGTGTCGGCGTTGCTGTACGCCGCGTCCCAGGCGTCGGTGCAGGCGCTGTAGAGGCGGGCCGCACGCTCCGTCGCGTTGCTCAGCGCCACCAGCAGCTCCATGCGCAGCGTCTCAGCGGGGCGGCTCTCCCCCGCACCGCGCACCACCGCCGAGTTCCGCTGCACCGACACCGACACACACCGCAACGCTCACCGCAACGCTCACCGCACCGCTCACCGCACAGCTCACCACCACACAGCGGGGTTCCCTCTGTGCCGCCACCACCGCCGCCGCCACAACACCGCTCACCACCGCACCGCTCGCTCACCACCACACTGCCCACCACCACCACCACCACCGTTCACCACCGCACCGCTCACCACCACCACCGCTCACCACAACACTGCTCACCACCACCATCGCCACCACCACACTACACACCACCACACACACCACACATGGCCATCGTGAACCCAAGCTGGTGAGTGGGCTGGTGAGCGTGGTGGTGAGCGTGGTGGTGAGCATGGTGGTGAGTGGACTGGTGAGCGTGGTGGTGAGCGTGGTGGTGAGCGTTGTGGTGAGTGAGCTGGTGAGCGTGGTGGTGAGCGAGCTGGTGAGCGGGCTGGTGAGCGTGGTGGTGAGTGGGTTGGTGAGCGTGGTGGTGAGTGTGGTGGTGAGTGGACTGGTGAGTGAGCTGGTGAGTGAGCTGGTGAGCGTGGTGGTGAGCGTTGGTGATGAGCGTGGTGGTGAGCGTGGTGGTGAGTGTGGTGGTGAGTGGGCTGGTGAGCGTGGTGGTGAGCGTGGTGGTGGGCGTGGTGGTGACTGTGGTGGTGAGCGTAGTGGTGAGCGTGGTGAGCGTGGTGGTGAGCGTGGTGGTGAGCGTGGTGGTGAGTGTGGTGGTGAGCGTGGTGGTGAGTGTGGTGGTGAGTGTGGTGGTGAGCGTGGTGGTGAGCGTGGTGGTGAGTGTGGTGGTGAGCGTGGTGGTGAGTGTGGTGGTGAGCGTGGTGGTGAGTGTGGTGGTGAGTATGGTGAGCGTGGTGGTGAGCGTGGTGGTGAGCGTGGTGGTGAGTGTGGTGGTGAGCGTGGTGGTGAGTGTGGTGGTGAGTGGGCTGATGAGCGTGGTGGTGAGCGTGGTGGTGAGTGTGGTGGTGAGTGTGGTGGTGAGCGAGCTGGCGAGCTGGTGAGCGTGGTGGTGAGCGTGGTGGTGAGCGTGGTGGTGAGCGAGCTGGTGAGCGTGGTGGTGAGCGTGGTGGTGAGTGTGGTGGTGAGCGAGCTGGTGAGCGTGGTGGTGAGCGTGGTGGTGAGCGTGGTGGTGAGTGTGGTGGTGAGTGGGCTGGTGAGTGTGGTGGTGAGCGTGGTGGTGGGCGTGGTGGTGAGCGTGGTGGTGAGTGTGGTGGTGAGCGTGGTGGTGAGTGTGGTGGTGAGCGGGGTGGTGAGCGTGGTGGTGAGCGAGCTGGCGAGCGTGGTGGTGAGTGTGGTGGTGAGTGGGCTGGTGAGCGTGGTGGTGAGTGTGGTGGTGAGCGTGGTGGTGAGTGTGGTGGTGAGCGTGGTGGTGAGTGAGCTGGTGAGCGTGGTGGTGAGCGAGCTGGTGAGCGTGCTGGTGAGCGTGCTGGTGAGCATGGTGGTGAGTGAGCTGGTGAGCGTGGTGGTGAGTGGGTTGGTGAGTGGGCTGGTGAGTGGGCTGGTGAGTGAGCTTGTGAGTAGGCTGGTGAGCGTGGTGGTGAGTGAGCTGGTGAGCGTGGTGGTGAGTGGGCTGGTGAGTGAGCTGGTGAGTGGACTGGTGAGCGTGGTGGTGAGCGTGGTGGTGAGTGGGCTGGTGAGTGTGGTGGTGAGCGTGGTGGTGGGCGTGGTGGTGAGCGTGGTGGTGAGTGTGGTGGTGAGCGTGGTGGTGAGTGTGGTGGTGAGCGGGGTGGTGAGCGTGGTGGTGAGCGAGCTGGCGAGCGTGGTGGTGAGTGTGGTGGTGAGTGGGTTGGTGAGCGTGGTGGTGAGTGTGGTGGTGAGCGGGGTGGTGAGCGTGGTGGTGAGCGAGCTGGCGAGCGTGGTGGTGAGTGTGGTGGTGAGCGTGGTGGTGAGTGAGCTGGTGAGCGTGGTGGTGAGCGAGCTGGTGAGCGTGCTGGTGAGCGTGGTGGTGAGTGAGCTGGTGAGCGTGGTGGTGAGTGGGTTGGTGAGTGGGCTGGTGAGTGGGCTGGTGAGTGAGCTTGTGAGTAGGCTGGTGAGCGTGGTGGTGAGTGAGCTGGTGAGCGTGGTGGTGAGTGGGCTGGTGAGTGAGCTGGTGAGTGGACTGGTGAGCGTGGTGGTGAGCGTGGTGGTGAGTGGGTTGGTGAGCGTGGTGGTGAATGTGGTGGTGAGCGAGCTGGTGAGTTGGCTGGTGAGTGAGCTGGTGAGTGAGCTGGTGAGTGTGCTGGTGAGTGAGCTGGTGAGTGTGCTGGTGAGTGTGCTGGTGAGTGGACTAGTGAGTGGGTTGGTGAGCGTGGTGGTGAGTGGACTGGTGAGCGTGGTGGTGAGGGGCGCCACCTGGCGGAGTTTGCTGACGGACTCTGGCGAGAGGACTTCGCGTGCGTGGAGTCGCGCGATGAAGCAGCTCGTGCGGTACTCATCCTGACCCCGCTCCATCTCCCCCAGCACCAGCACCTTGAAGACCTTCACTCCCTGTGTGACACACAGTGACACACACAGTGACACACACAGTGTGACACACACACACAGACAGTGTGACACACACACACAGTGTGACACTCATCCTGACCCCGCTCCATCTCCCCCAGCACCAGCACCTTGAAGACCTTCACTCCCTGTGTGACACACACAGTGACACACACAGTGACACACACAGTGACACACACAGTGTGACACACACACACAGTGTGACACACACACACACAATGCGGTACTCATCCTGACCCCGCTCCATCTCCCCCAGCACCAGCACCTTGAAGACCTTCACTCCCTGTGTGACACATACAGTGTGACACACACAGTGACACACACAGTGTGACACACACACACAGTGTGACACACACACACAGTGTGACACACACACACACAGTGTGACACACACACACACAGTGTGACACACACACACACAGTGTGACACACACACACACAGTGACACACACACACACAGTGACACACACACACAGTGTAACACACACAGTGTGACACACACACACAGTGTGACACTCATCCTGACCCCGCTCCATCTCCCCCAACACCAGCACCTTGAAGACCTTCACTCCCTGTGTGACACACACAGTGACACACAGTGACACAGTGACACACATAGTGACACACACAGTGTGACACACACACACACACAGTGTGACACACACACACAGTGTGACACTCATCCTGACCCCGCTCCATCTCCCCCAGCACCAGCACCTTGAAGACCTTCACTCCCTGTGTGACACACACAGTGACACACACAGTGACACACACAGTGACACACACAGTGTGACACACACACACAGTGTGACACACACACACACAGTGCGGTACTCATCCTGACCCCGCTCCATCTCCCCCAGCACCAGCACCTTGAAGACCTTCACTCCCTGTGTGACACATACAGTGTGACACACACAGTGACACACACAGTGTGACACACACACACAGTGTGACACACACACACAGTGTGACACACACACACAGTGACACACACAGTGTGACACACACACACACAGTGTGACACACACACACAGTGTGACACACACACACACAGTGACACACACACACACAGTGACACACACACACAGTGTAACACACACACAGTGTGACACACACACACAGTGTGACACTCATCCTGACCCCGCTCCATCTCCCCCAACACCAGCACCTTGAAGACCTTCACTCCCTGTGTGACACACACAGTGACACACAGTGACACAGTGTGACACACACAGTGACACACACAGTGTGACACACACACACAGTGTGACACACACACACAGTGTGACACACACACACACAGTGCGGTACTCATCCTGACCCCGCTCCATCTCCCCCAGCACCAGCACCTTGAAGACCTTCACTCCCTGTGTGACACGCAACTCCACGTTAGCAGGGCAGGAGCGAGTCCATCCAAGTGATAGCTGGGATCAATGCGGGGGTGTGATGTTGAACCTAAAGTCGTCGAGCCAGGGACGGGCATTCCACATTCCTATGGCCAGGTCATCGGTGTATCTGTCTGTGTCAGTGTGTCATGTCAGTGCGTGTGTGTCAGTGTGTGTGTGTGTCAGTGTGTGTGTGTCAGTGTGTGTGTCAGTGTGTCAGTGTGTGTGTCAGTGTGTGTGTCAGTGTGTGTCAGTGTGTGTGTGTCAGTGTGTGTGTGTCAGTGTGTGTGTGTGTCAGTGTGTGTGTGTCAGTGTGTGTGTCAGTGTGTGTCAGTGTGTGTGTGTCAGTGTGTGTGTGTGTGTCAGTGTGTGTGTGTCAGTGTGTGTGCCAAGTGTGTGTGTGTCAGTGTCAGTGTGTGTGCCAAGTGTGTGTGTGTCAGTGTCAGTGTGTGTCAGTGTGTGTGTGTCAGTGTGTGTGTGTCAGTGTGTGTGTGTCAGTGTGTGTGTCAGTGTGTCAGTGTGTGTGTGTCAGTGTGTGTGTCAGTGTGTCAGTGTGTGTGTGTCAGTGTGTGTGTGTCAGTGTGTGTGTCAGTGTGTGTGTGTGTGTCAGTGTGTGTGTGTCAGTGTGTGTGTGTGTGTCAGTGTGTGTGTGTCAGTGTGTGTGTGTGGGTCTGCCCCGTGACCTCCTGCCAGCGGGCTTTCGACACTTCACGTGGCCTCAAGGTGCACTTGGCCTGGCACAAGCATCGTGGTGACGTCACCGCCACTTAGTGGCGAATGGCGGTTGTTGTTGTGTGTGTGTCAGTGGGGAGCGGTAGTGTAGCGGTTAGCGCGCTGCGCTATGAACCCGGCGACCCGGGTTCGATTCCCGCTCACGGCCAACACCAGTGACGATTATCTGAACCGGTCCCGGGCCTCCCCTAGGTCGACTCAGCCTCAAATGAGTACCTGGTGCGGTGTGTATACATCGCCGCTGGGGAGACAAAGGCGGTCGGGCGTGGTGCTGGCCACCCACCCCCTCGTGTACCGTTCCGGCCTTCATAGGTGCTCGCTAACAGCACTTGCCCCTACAGTCTGTTCAGGCTATACGGGGGATCTTTATCTTTGTCAGTGTGTGTGTGTGTCAGTGTGTGTGTCAGTGTGTGTCACAGTGTGTGTGTGTCAGTGTGTGTATGTGTCAGTGTGTGTGTGTCAGTGTGTGTGTGTGTGTCAGTGTGTGTGTGTGTGTCAGTGTGTGTGTGTGTGTCAGTGTGTGTGTGTGTGTCAGTGTGTGTGTTAGTGTGTCAGTGTGTGTGTGTGTCAGTGTGTGTGTCAGTGTCTGTCACAGTGTGTGTGTGTCAGTGTGTGTGTGTGTCAGTGTATGTGTCAGTGTGTGTGTGTCAGTGTGTGTCACAGTGTGTGTGTGTCAGTGTGTGTGTGTCAGTGTGTCAGTGTGTGTGTCAGTGTGTCAGTGTGTGTGTCAGTGTGTGTGTCAGTGTGTGTGTGTGTCAGTGTGTGTGTCAGTGTGTGTGTGTCAGTGTGTGTGTCAGTGTGTGTGTGTCAGTGTGTCAGTGCGGGGTGAGAAAAATGAGTCCCACGGGGGAGAGGGAAGGATTTGGGGGAAGATCTCCGGTCTGTAACGACTTACAGATGTGCCGTGTGTGTGTGCACTCACACACACACACAATACACACAGACAAAGAACCCCGTGTAGCCTGCACAGACTGCTGGGGCAAGTGCTGTTAGCGAGCAGCACCTATGAAGGCCGGCACTGTGGCACACGAGGGGGTGGGTGGCCAGCACCACGCCCGGCCGCCTTTGTCTCCCCAATGGCGATGTCTACTACACACCGCTACACCAGGCTTACTAATTTGAGGCCGAGTCGACCTAGGGGAGGCCCAGGGACCGGTTCAGAGAATCGTCGCTCATGTTGGTGACCGTGAGCGGGAATCGAACTCGGGTCGCCGGGTTCGTAGCGCAGCGTAGCGCTAACCGCTGCACCACCGCTCCCTACACACACACTCACACTGAATTGTCCACCCACCCAGTCACTCCACGGCGAACTCACCCACCCACTCACCCACCCACCCACTCACCCACCCACCCACCCACTCACCCACTCACCTACTCACCCGGCTCACCCACTCACCCACCCACTCACCCACTCACCCACCCACTCACCCACCCACCCACCCACTCACCCACCTACCCACCCACTCACCCACCCACCCACTCACCCACTCACCCACCCACTCACCTACTCACCCGGCTCACCAACTCACCCACCCACTCACTCACCCACTCACCCGCTCACCCACCCGCTCACTCACCCACTCACCCTCTCGCCCACCCACCCGCTCACCCACCCACTCACCCACCCACTCACTCACCCACCCACTCACCCTCTCACCCACCCACCAACCCGCTCACCAGTGCGTGTGTGATTGTTTGCGTGCGTGCATGTGTGAGATCGTGAGCGTGTGTGAGATCGTGAGCGTGTGTGAGATAGTTAGTGTGTGATTGTGAGTGTGTGAGTGTGTTGCAAGTATGTGTGAGTGTGCGAATGTGTTATTTTATGGGTGTGAGTGTGCGTGCGTTTGTTATTGTGCGAGTTTGTGCGTGTGTGTGAGTTTGTGTGCATGCGTGTGGGTGTGTGTGCGTGCGTGCGAGTGTGCGTGTTTGAGGTTGTGTGCGAGGTTGTGTGTGTGTGCGAGTGTGTGAGGATGTGCGCGAGTGTGCGTGCTTGAGTGAGCGAGCGTGTGAGTGTTGTGAGTGTGTGTGTATGTGCGTGTTTGTGTGTGTGATTATGTGTGCGTGTTTGTGTGTGTTTGTGCGTGAGTGTGTGTGTGAGTGTGTGAGGTTGTGTGTGAGGTTGTGTGTGAGTGAGTGTGTGAGGTTGTGTGAGTGTGTGAGTGTGTGTGTGAGTGTGTGTGTGAGTGTGTGTGAGGTTGTGTGAGTGTGTGAGTGAGTGTGTGTGTATGTATGTGTGTGTGAGTGCGTGTATGTGTGTGTATGTGTGTGTGCGTGAGTGTGTGATGTTGTGTATGTGTGAGTGTGTGAGTGAGTGTATGTGAGTGTGTGTGAGTGTGCGTGAGTGTATGTGTGAGTGTGTATGTGCATGTATGTGCGTGAGTGTGCGTGAGTGTGTGTGAATGTGTGAGGTTGTGTATGTGTAAGTGTGTGTATGTGTGTGTGAGCGTATGTGTGAATGCGTGAGTGTGTGTATGTGCATGTATGTGCGTGAGTGTGTGTGTGTAAGTGCGTGAGTGTGTGTGTATGTGAGTGTGTGTGTGTAAGTGTGTGTGTGTATGTGAGTGTATGTGCGTGAGTGTGTGTAAGTGTGTGTGTATGTCAGTGTATGTGCGTGAGTGTGTGTGTGTAAGTGTGTGTATGTATGTGTGTGTGTGTCTGTGTGTGTGTGTCTGTGTGTGTGTGTTTGTGTGTGTGTGTCTGTGTGTGTGTGTTTGTGTGTGTGTGTCTGTGTGTGTGTCTGTGTGTGTGTGTGTCTGTGTGTGTGTCTGTGTGTGTGTGTCTGTGTGTGTGTGTATGTGAGTGTATGTGCGTGAGTGTGAGTGTGTAAGTGTGTGTGTATGTGCATGTATGTGCGTGAGTGTGTGT